GTGCTTTCACGGTTCTATGGCCGCAGATGTCGGTCTCGTTCGAAGGAGTGCTTATGAAGCAGAGTGTCGGGACCGAGGTGTGGGAAGCTCGCATCGGGTGCGAACCGACATGGTGTGCACCGAGAAAGTGGCTCGGATGGTCACTCAAGTGCGTGGGCTCGTTCCTGCGCATTGTTGTCGGCTCGTCCGGATCCCTTCCACGCTCGGTGTCAAGGTTCGAACCTGCCATCACGCTAATCTTCCGCTGCGCGTCGGAGATGCCGCCTCGTTGTAAGCTCAACTGTGTACAGTATACGAACGTGATGTCGTGTGCAGCTTCGCTTGCTGAACGGCCAGCGGTGTGAAGTCGCACTTTGCAGATCCTCCTTCACTTGATTTCAGAAATTGTCGCTTCGAGCAAAGCGCACGTTCTTGCCGTTTGCCAGCTCCCACTTCGATTGCACGTTCCTTAACCGCCGGCGCCGCACTCTTACTCCGCCTGCAGCTCGCCGTCTTGGATGGCTTCCCCATCAGCCCCACAGTGCGCACGCCATGCTGTCCCGCTGTCGAGGAGGGAGACTTCCGAGCATCCGGCTTATCTTGCGCGCCATGTGACTCAAGCTCTCGGCGTAGCCCGAGCGACAGTTTGATCAATAACCGAGCTCGAGGGAGGATTGCCACTCGGTGGTGTTGCTGCCGATAACGCAGCGCATGCACCACTCCTTCGCTTAGCGCAGAGGCGACAAACTCGCCTCGGCTCGGAACACCATCTTCCTTTTTTCGCATCTTCCGCCCACGACCGCCCACGGCTACTTTCGTGCCTGGCCGACGGCTCACCCAGACACCGCGGCTGGCCACCAAATGAAGGCAGCAAAACAGTCAACAGCCGCTGTCAAATTTATGCATCCCCCGCACGCGCGTAACACCACCAATGCGAGTATAAGAAGCTCTTGTTCGCGAACACAACTCCATCCTGACCCCAACCTCCCTTTCCCTGAGCGGCTGGACACCTCAAGAAGGATCGGAATCAACAATGCTGCTGAACAATTTCATTTCGGCTGCAGTCGCGCTCGCTGGCTTTGCCGCCGCCTGCCCAGGCATCGACCACGCCCAGGGTCTGGCTCCTCGCACTCCTGATCATTCCATTCAGCCGAGCGGTGGCGAAACACTCCTTCGCGATCTCACTTGGGGGGATATGGTGGCTCTACACCTCACGGACGTTCACGGCTGGTATCAAGGGCACCAAAAGAAAAGTGAGCCTGAACCCAACTACTCAGGTGATTGGGGCGACTTTGCTTCGTTCGTATCGCACATGCGCAAGCTCGCCAAGAAGAAGGGCGTTGATCTGATCCTTGTCGACACCGGAGACCTGCACGATGGCGCAGGTCTCAGCGATGGCTACCCTGCCGGCCAGGTTGACGGCCAGGTTTCGAACCAGTTCCACGCTATGGTTGACTTCGACCTCCTCACAGTTGGCAATCACGAGCTGTACAAGTACGAGAACGCTTGGAACACCTTGACCGAGTTTGTCCCCAAGACTCACGGTCGCTACATGGGCTCCAACGTCAAGGTCAGCCACGCCCCACCGCGCGGTGGTGGAGCCAACGTGACGTACAACTTCGGCGAGCAATTCGTCAAGTTCAAGACCGATCACGGACGCAAGGTCACCTCGCTCGGTGTGCTTTTCAACTTCACCGGTGCCGATCAGGGCATCACTGTTCAGGACCCGGCCAAGATGGTCCTCGAGCCGTGGTTCGCCGATGCGATCAAGGACGAGCCCGACGTCTTCATCGTCACTGGCCACATGCCCGTGCGCAAGGACCAGTTCCCCGTCGTCATCGACGCCATCCGCAAGCTGCACCCGACCACGCCCATCATGGTGCTCGGCGGACACTCGCACATCCGCGACTGCACCACGTACGACAAGTACTCGATGGGAATCGAGTCTGGCCGCTACCTCGAGACCATCGGCTGGCTCTCGATGAACTTTACGCAGAATGGCCCCACGTTCAGCCGCTCGTACATCGACGCCAACCGTCGCAACTACGCCTATCACGCCGGCCTCTCGTCCAAGCCCAACAAGTTCGACACGGCGCTCGGCAAGAAGATCACGCGCCAGATGAACCAGGTCGCCGACGCGTGGAACCTCTCGCACGTCTACGGCAACGCCCCGCAGGACTACTACCTGCAGCGTGTGCCCATCAACGACACGTCGTCGCTGATCAACTTTATGACGAACAAGGTGCTGCCGACGGTCATCTCGACGTCCAACGCCGAGCGCAAGGGCGTGCCCAACCTCGTGATCGCCAACAGCGGTTCGCAGCGCTTCGACCTGTACGCGGGGCCCTTCACCAAGAACGACCAGTATATTGTGTCGCCGTTCACCGACGCATTCCAGTACATCAAGGACGTGCCGTACCAGTACGCTAGCCAGATCATCCACACTCTCAACGACGACAAGGCGGCGCAGGCGTCGAGCAGGAGGCGCAGCGCCGAGGACGACGAGGCCGAGAAGGAGCTGTATGCCAAGGGCCACGTGTCGCACATCTACAACCGCTGGATGAAGGAGCAGCACCACTTTGCGTCGAACGAGGCTGCGCTCGACCTGGCCAAGCTCGATGCGCGTGCTGCTGCGGCCCAGGCTCAGCGCACGCTCGGCTACGTGACCAAGGACGACTGCCCCGGCGATGGCGACGACACCATCCACACCGCCATCCCCTTTGCGTCGGTGCCGGACTACGTGCAGAGCCCCGTGACGGGCGACAACGTCGGACCGACCGACAAGGTGGACGTCATCTTCCTCGACTTCATCGCCAAGAACGTCGTGCGCATCCTCAACGGCCTCCAGACCGAGCGCACCTACGCGCTCTCGGACGTCGCGGCTTACAACCAGTACACCACCCAGGACATCTACCCGCTCTATGCCGAGCAGGTGTGGGCCAAGAACGCCACTGCCTAGATGAAATGTGTGGCGACCTAGAAATGGAAGAACGAACATGTTTGGAATGAGAGAGAGAGCACTTTGATGTGTGGTTTGGCGTGAGACGAGGAGGGAGCGAGGCTCGGCGCTTTTGGAAGGGTCGAGTTGTCGAGGCTGCGGGAATAAATCCTCGGAAAGCGGAAGTGCGATTGCGGGGAGGCAGTTTGCAATTCAGTGGAGGGGTGCATGTGTGGTGGTGGCTTGGACCTGACCACCATCAAAGTTGACAAGGGTGGGCGTAACCTCTGCAGCTTCATCAGCGTGCATCCAACTCTCCACCATGGAAGCGACGACATCAAGTGGGGCCGGTGGTGGGGCAGCCAACAGTACCGAGCTGATGATTGCGCTGTCGCAGATCCAGCAGCTGATTCCGCTCCTGGAGCACCGGCCCGGTGGGCTCGTGCATCTTCTCTCGAGCCTGCTCATCCCGCTTTGCGCCGAGGGGGGTCCGGAGGCTATGCAGCGGTATCGAGCCAATGTGGACCATGCATTTCGTGTCTCTGCCGAGCTGGTGGCGCGAACCCAAGGCGGACCGGTGGGGACAGCGTTGGAGCTGGCGGAAAAGTTGATGCACGACGGCGAGAGTAAGAGGTTGCTACGGGTGCGTAGGAAGAGGAGACTGTTTACGGAACAGGAAAAGCTGCTCGATGGTAGCGGTCCGCCGATTCCGCAATCCCAGCCTCAAGCTGCAGAAGCAAAGCAAGATGCAGAAGCGCGCGTCTTGCCTGTGCTGCCTTTGACATCGGCGCAGCAAGGTCTGGCTTGGCCTACGTCGGCAGACGCCGTACAGCAGTACCTCCGCGCGCTGCATGGGTACCTCGAAGAGGCGTTCAAGGAGAAGGGGCGCGACGGGGCGCTCAAACACGTCAAGGCACGCGTGGCGAGCTTCAGTCAGGCTGGGTTCGAAGTCGAGGTGCAAGTCAGCCCCATCCTCAAGGCGAGGATAGAGGTGACCGTGGCAGAATCGAACATCGACATTGCCTCGCTTGCTGTTGGTGCGATGACCGAATCGATCGTAAGTTCACTCGCTTCCAAAGTGCGATCGTACCGCAAGCTCTACGAGACTTCTGACAATTGTCCTTGGATGTATAGACCTCGACGATGCCATCTGCATTCCCCATCTTTCGCGCGCTGTCGAGCGACGTACTCACACGCACCAAGCGCGCCCAGCGCGCCCCCGCATCCGCGCACGCGACAGTGTGGTCCGCCTACACAGGTGTCACTGAAACCATGGCGCGGCTCATCCTTTCAGCGGCGCAGTTTCAGACCCAGTGACGAATGCAAATCGATGTATTCCTATCCCGAATCCGGCGCGGGGTCTACTCGATCTTTTCGCACTTTTCCTCCTGGGTGGATGCCAATGTGGATGCGTGGGACGAAGCAGAGGAGGTGGATGCGGCCGAAGACGATGCAGACGAAGTGCATCGCTTCGTGGGCGACTTTACCGCCGACGATCGCGATGACGGTCGGGACCTCTTGTTGCTCTTGCCATCCGTGGCCGAGCCTGTCTTTTCGATGAGGGCACGGCTGGTGTCGACGTACTGCTTCCACCTGCGTTGGAAGCTCTCGGTGAGCCTGGCAGCCACGCCTTCGCTCTCGGGCACGCGGTCGGCGGAGATCGAGATGGTAAAGTCGCCACCGTACGAGCAGATTCCGATGCCCAACGTGCCCTTGCCCGCCTGGGGTGGCAGCGCGGTCCAGCGCACCACCTCCTGCCCCGCCAGCTCGATGCGCTGCTTGGACGGACACGGCACATTTGTCACCACGGCGGTAAAGGAGGTGAGCACGCGCTCGGTCACCCACACCGTAGGCCACCGAAGCACGTTCCAGCCGACCTTGGGCAACAGGCCGAAGGGGATGGGAAAGGCAACAGGGATCTGGCCGGTGAGCTGGATCATGTAGAAAAAGATCTTGGGCAGCAGCGAGTTCTTGAGGATGTTGAGACGCGAATGCGTCGTGTGCAGACGTCGGTGCAGCACGCGCACGTCGGTAGGCAGACCGTTGGTGGTGGGCAGATAGGCAATGCCACCCGTGGACAGGTTGCGCATCGACCAGTCGCCCGGCTCGCGGATCGAGATGGGGATCATGATGCCGATGGGCGACGGCAGGATGCGGTGCGACAATCGACGCAGGCGGTTAAGCAGACCGGGCTCGTCCGGTCGGCGGTCGAGCTCGTCGTTGATCACATCCGCAATGACGGTGCAGATGATGTCGTTCACCGTAAGGTGCGTGCCGATGAGCGGACGAGAGTATCGCTTGCCGCCTTGCACCTTGTCGAGCAGCGTGCCCGGCTGGACGCCCGAGAAGGCCTTGGAGATCAGCTTGACCTCGCCCAGCGGGAACGAGGGCGACACGCTGAATTCCTTTTCGGGCTTGCGCGGACCCGGGTAGCTGGCGGTGACGTAGCGCTGGCGCCAGAAGGTGGCGAGGAAGAAGAAGCTCGTCGAGACGGCGAGGGTGATGCAGCCGGCGAGGTCGGTGATGAGCGAGACGAGCCAGCTGGTCCAGTAGAGCGCCATCATGACGAGCTGGAGCGCAATGGTGCCGTGGAAGCGGTCGAGGCTGGCGAGCTTCTTGTTCATGCGCGAGGGCAGTGCCTTGCCCTGCTTGGCGTCGCTGAGCAGCTGTGCGCCATCGGCCATCATGCTCTCGAGCTTGGAGCCGAGCGAGGTGACAAAGAGCTGGCTCATGATGAAACCCTGTCCGTCGGCGAGCGTGTGGTGTCCGCGGATCACGCAGGCTCCCTTGGCACCGGTGTCCTGGTCGACAAAGTTTTCGAGCACAGCCACGCTCCACAGCGGACGCGTGTAGTCCCAGTCGCGCGCGATGAAGTCGGAGGCAAAGCTCTCGAGCTCGCGCTTGCCCGCGGCGCCGGGGAGCGTCTCGGAACGGATGTGCCAGCTCATGTCAAAGTCGTCGTCGTTGATAAAGACGGTGCCGTGGAAGAAGCGGCCGACGTCGGCGAGCTTCTGGGTGTACTTGGGAAAGTGGCCGATCTGTCGAGCCATGGATTCGCGGATGTCGTCGAGTCGGGCGGGCTCCTTGAAGGTGTAGGTGGCGGTGCAGATGGGGTTGAAGGAGCTGATGCCGTCGATGAGCAGCCACATGTTGTCGATGCCGCCGATGGCGTTGGCGCGGCTAAAGATCTCGTACTGCACCAGGCGCTCGATCTGTTCGGCGGCGGCGAGGGTGGTGCGAGCGATGCGCTCGAGCACGCCACCCTTTCGGTGCTCGGCGAGCTTCTGCAGCGCCTCCTCTGCGCGTTCGGCGACGTTGTGCACAGCCGCACCGAGCGTAGGGGTGTTGTAGCCCGACGTCCACGGGCTTTCGTCGAGAGCGGATGCGACGCCGGGGAAGAGCGGGAAGAAGGCCTTGCTGGCGATGGAAGGGGAGTCGTTGAGCTTGGAGCTGGATGAGGTGGAGGACGAGATGCCGTTCATGCGCGCAAAGCGAGACGACGACTGCAGCTTGGGGCTGTGGTGGCGGGCGCCATTGCCGGCTCCGGCTCCGGCTCCCTTGACCTTGGCGGCAGGCGATGAGGTGCTGTGGCTCCCCAGCGCCGATTCCTGTGCAGCCGACATGCTTAGGCACCGCGAGTCTTTGCGCGAGTCTCTGGAAAAGTGTCTTCGATCGAAGGTCGGATGAAAGGAGCGACTATAGAGGATGGAGCATCAGGGCGCAGTGTAGGAAGGACGTGGTAGTAAAGGAAAACGATGACAGGAGTTCGACCGCGTCATAAAGCTGCTCGGGTCGTACAATCAATCCAAAGTTGCCCCGGGAATTCATCGCAGCGTCACCTCATCAGTCTCATCAGTTCGGCTCATCATCGTCCTTCGGCTCGAACTGAGGCACACCATCCGAACCGCAACAAGTGGAGGCCACCGTGCGAATTATTAATAACATGAGTTCGATACTAGAGGTCTAACAGCTGAAAAGTTCACAAATCCTCGCCCGACTTCCGCTTCGGCATGTCGACCGACGCGCCGCGGCCATCCGCTTCTGCTTGGTCCCACCTTCCTTCTCCACGCCGTCTTCCTGCGCATCAGTCGTTCGGTGTGCAGACACATTGCGCACTTCCCGGCAGCTGCACGCAAAGCATACACCATGCCGCCGGCGTCGTCAGCGGCTCCAGCTGCAGCAGCCGACAAGGCCACCAACAACGACACCACCAGGGCCGCCGACTCGACACCTCACACGCCCAAGGATGCCTCGTCCATCTCCCTGCCCACCGCCTCGACCTCGACAGGAGGAGGATCTGCAGCAGCTGCTGCTGCTACTGCTGCTACTGCTGCTACTGCTGCTGCAAACGACGCGGCTGGAGGCGTCTTCAGCAGCCCCGACATGACCGCCGCCGTACTCGCCTACCTCCAGAAACGCGGCTTTGATCGCGTCGAGGCCGCCTTCAAGGCAGAGCTCGATGCACTCGCTTCCGGCGCCACGCCAGAAAAGGCTGCCGCCGCCGCCGCAGACACACTCGGTCGCTCGCCAACCGTAGGCTTGGAAGATCTCGCCGCCAAAAACGCCCCGCGTACGACCAACGACAAGGACGGCGACAAGGACAAGGATGCGAACGCGAATGCTGCCGCCGCCGCCGCGGCCGACGCCGACCTCACCATAGCAGAGGACGGCGGAGTCTCGGCCGCAGCCGCACAGGCTCTGCTCCTGGATCCCACCGATCGCGCGCGTGGCTTCGCCATGCTCAAGCAGTGGTGCCAGGGCAGTCTCGACATCTACCAGCCCGAGCTTCTCCCCATCCTCCTCCCGCTCTTTGTCCACTCCTTCCTCGACCTCGTCCTGCTCGGACACGGCCCTGCCGCCTCGGCACTCTACTCTGCGCACGTCGCCTCGTTCCTGCCCACCCACACCGCGCTGCTCTCCCAGATCCGCTCGCTCGCCCTCCCCTCGCACATCCAGACCGACGCGCTCGCCCAGCGCTTCCGCTCCGAACGATACGTCGTCAAGATGTCCAACACCGTATTCAGCCTGCTGCTCGGCTGGCTCACCGACGGAGGCGGGCCCGTCTCGGGCTCCATCGGCGGTCTCGAGGAGGCAGAGGCACCCGCAAGGCGTGGCAGAGAGGCCATGCTCAAGATCATCAACGAGCGCTGCCGAATCCAGGTGCTCGCGGCACAGCCTTACCAGATCGATGCAGCCGTCCTCGAGGAAGGCACCGGCCTCACCGGCGCCGGGCCCGCCTACTCGAGCCTCTCTGCCAGCGCC